ACGTATATATATGCTCAAATCCTATTATTGGCTTTTGCTTTGCCTTGCTGTGCCCTTATGTGATTTGACTATAAATTTACTTAAGTGATTGCTCGCATATACTTATTTGCCTCTCCGCTTCAAATTCGCTCGATGTGCTTATAGCTTTCTGATCTGCTCTATCCGCTAATAAATTGTAGTTGCCGCTTCATTTTGCCTTCTGATTTCAGACACCGTTAAGGTTTATATGATAACGGTTACAAGGGTGATTAGTTAACGAAACAAAGCCACTACATATGATCGATTAATATGTATGAAATTTGTTTATGATGAGGTTATAACAGGCGCAATGAATTTGTAGACAGTTTTTAAATATCACTAGTTGAAATAATGAGTTAATTGAAGTTAGACTACCATGGGAAACCTGGAAGCAATGGATGGCCGTTTCGTTCTAGTATCTCCACAAAACCCCTTCTGATAGTTTTTAAATAATCAAAAAATCTTTTTATAAATGGATTGTTTGGGGAAACAAAAATAATAGGATTTTAAAGTATAAATAGGTTTATCATGTTTAATGAATTTAATGAAATCCTCTAAATCTGCTTATACATGTAAATGGAGAAAAATTAATATATATTCGCCCATATAGATATAGAATATTTGTCTTATCTAATGTCTAAGAGAACTAATAATGACTTTTAGGGGTCTCCACATTGCTACGGTCATTTCTGCGATTTTCAGTCTTATACAATAACTTTTTCAATACGTTTAGTTCCAAGATAATATGCTAAACAAGAATCATCAATTCTAAAGATCATTTATATAATCCTTACCTAGAACATAATACAGAGTAGTAAGCATATTTATAAAGAAAGGTTTCGTTAAGTTCATTGGCATGTAGTAATCACAAAGACGATAATCTCGATGCGTAAGATAGATTGAGAGTGTGTGATATATGTTACTGATGTTAACACACATAAGTCGAAGTGAAATGGTTGAGAAGATCGAATCGAGGAGAACAGGAATATAAACAGAGAGTAACTTTAATAAAAACAAGGATGATGGAACGACGAAGTTAGTCAGAGACGGTTGATGGAAGATGTATAAATGAAGCATTTAGTGTATGGTTTTCATATTTTATGAATACATTCTATAATATTGTAATAACTAATAAAGTGGTCTTCCCCACTTAAGTGTTCGTTCACTACAAGTATAAAATGCATTTCCAGTTTAGTTCTGTCACAGAGTTTGAAGTCTTGAGTAGCATACAAAAGACAATAAATATTATAGTTTAATGAATGTATGCTGGAACTGAATAGAGTGTTATAATTTACCATGATATCGAAAGTAAAGTTTTTGGTAGCCTTATTTACAGCTAAAGTGAACATAGTAAAGGTTTGTGTGTTCATACTACATATCAGTTGGAATAAAGCTTCCAAAATAGCATTTTTTTTTCTTTGCTTTATTGCACGTACCACTTCCCGCAACTAATAGTGCTACTAACAATAATAATAATACTGATAGTCAATTCCTAACTTAGTGATATTTCTTCAAAATGATTTCTCCACCTCGAATGAAGGAAAGTCAAGTTAGTCTTCTCCAGTTGTGGACAAAATATAAATAAGTATCTTGGGTCAATGATGATACATAGTCATCTAATCTAAGTCAGTCAACTCCGAAATATTAGGAATTCAGAGAAGCCATTGTCATCTTATTCAACATCTAATCGATAATACTCCATTTTTCAACGATCATTTTATCAAAATTACATATGATTAGATGATGATGGTATTAATTTGTAATTTGTGCATATGTAATCTACTTATAAAGACGATTTTGAATAAAAGAAACCTGAAATTTATCATCCTAACATTTTGTAACTTAAAGTCTATTCACCTATATATAATGTAAACTTTCCAATTAAATATACATATACTGATAAAGAATGATTTCATGATGGTGATGCATGATTCGATAATAACTGAAATCAAGCTATTTGTTCTGTAAAAATATTCTTGTCAATGTTTTACAAATCAACTAATAGCATTAAATTTCAGCTAAATAAGTACAGTTGATAAGATATTTGACGACGCCTTTCAACATCTGAAGTCCAAATGATAAGATACAAGATGTTATGTTTGTTTACTTTTATGAAACTTGATTGGGAAAGCATGTAAACCATTGTGGTGCGTGCTACTTATATAGATATATGTAGTATATGAGTCGAGTCAGGAATGTAATGTCTGGCAGCAGAAGATGGGGGAAGATCAGGAAAGGAAGAGCGGGAATAGAAAGCAATTAGTATGGAAATGCAAGAACAACGAAGTTCGAGACAATTATTGAACATTTTGCAAATTAAGTATTATAGTATGGTTTTTCTACTTTACCAAGTATTTCAGTAATTTTGTGCTGAATACAATTCGATTGTCCCAACCCGTGTTCTGTTCACTACACCATGTGATTATGATAAATAATTATCAAATTAAATAATATATATGTATTGATGCTTTTAGCGAGACATTTACAGTAGTTTAACGCTAGTATTGTTTTTTGATTAGCTGTTTGATGAAATGAGCTTCTACACTGATGGTAATAAAAAATCCCAATAGCGTAGTGAATAAAGTCAATGATGCCAGACAGTAATCCGGATTGTAAGTATAACTGGAAATTGTACTAAATGTAAGCTGCCCAAAACCAATAGCAAGCTGAAAAAAGGATGGAAAATGAAAGATCATAATTGATTTAAGAAGCAAAATTATTGTAAAATACTGAAGTACAGACAAACAACTGTGTAACAAGCTTATTAAAAGAATTTTTGACCAAGGTAAAAAAAAGTCTAGTTCGGAAAGGGTTGAATTACAATACATCAAAATTTTCGGCACCGAAATCATTCATACCGCTGAATTCCTCGTCTAAAACATCAAGACTAAATGAAGAAACTCAACAACAAATAAGACAAGTGGTAATGTTGTTGAGTCGATGTAAAGAAGACTGCTTTCGACTAAAGGCATAAAAACGGAAGGCTATACGGAAACAGAAAACAAGGAGAAATACAATCATGATCATTCTTAACAAGGAGCGTACCACAATAGTCATGAGTGAAAGGACTATATTTGGAACGATAAGAGGTTACTCAGAGATGATAGTGTATACCAACAAATGGAAACTAATCCCAACCAAAGCTAGACGGCAATATATATAGTACTCTAAAACAGACTAATCAAAGATGGATGACTAACAAGCAGGATTCATAGCTAAGAAAATCAAATGGACTTCTTATTTCCCAATGTTATGGTTGACCGAAATTACACGAGCTGTACATTACAAAAAATCATTACACTTTCAAGGACATTTTGTGTGTCAATAGGAATATCAATCGTGTTAAAATATGTGATGAACTCATTCGACTACTCTATCAAATGTTCAACACAATTCTTAGATCAAATGAAAGATATTCAAATCGCCAACAACAATTTGATTTCTTTGGATGTTACAGCGTTGCATACATCAGTTGAAGCAAATCGACCGAATCCTTGCCCCTCTCCATTGATATTAATCCTTCAAAATATAACAATTCTGAAAGTCGAAGTCTTAATGATCCCATAGACTCATGTCTAACAATATATTCCCGACTGAACGGAAAAACTTTGTGGACAAACGAAATAAAATCCATTAGGGTCTTAGATATCCGAATTAATTGCAGAAGCTGTTATACAGGGGCTAGGAACTCCGGTCTTACCAATGATAAAACCAGAAATCTGAATACATTGTGTAGACAATACGTTCGATGTCATCGAATGAGTTCATCTGAAAAGTGCTAATATTTGACCGATAACATCTTTGGCGGCATAAAATTCATGTTAGAAAAGAAACGATACAACGAACTTTCATTTTTGATCAATAAAAAAAGACTGGGATATATTGACGAGCAATACACACCTAACAAACATTAAATTATAGTAGTAACAATCTAGTACGTTAAAAGTTGCATTGAAACAATTCCTAAAAGAATAAAGACATAATACAACACAAACATCACAAGGAAAGTGAAAGAAGGTACATAATGGACGTATTTAGGCAGGATTGATAATCACAAAACTTATAAAAAAACCAACAAACGGATCATTCTACCCTACATGGAAAACATCTCAGAGACTATACTGGTTATTAAGACTACTAGGAATAAGACACAATGACAAACAAAGATAAGCCGAACATGATCTACGGGATAGATTACATTTAATGAGGCAACGAAACAAGACCAAGTTCCCAAACCTTCATTTACATCTACATGAACACCAGTTCACTAATAAATGCCACAACTCAGCCTCCCTCTTATCAACTCATATAGACAATCGTGGACAAGAGTTCGACTGAAAGTTCGTTTAAATAATGGATGGAGGAAACATAAGGAAAACCAGAAGGTTCTTAGAAATCTGACAGTCTGATCATGTAGTTCATAGACATAATCAGATCGACTAATTCTATAAACAAATAAAAGATGATGGCAATAACTGTAAGGTAAGAGTTTAGATCAGGAGGGGAAAAGATCATTACAAACATGCAGATATGACCATACAGTATTCATAACCATTAAGACGATCACAAGGTTATTCATTTTCAACTTACAATGCCAAGATCATGCTAATAGCAGTAAACGCAAGAGCATTTTTACTAACCACATTTTTTTACTCGACCTTCGCCTTTTTCTAATTGATTACCACTACAATTAGTTTCCTAACCTCCTGTATGGTAGGGGAATTTATGCTTTCTTTACTGGATATATTGAGCTTCATCATTTCAAGTTGTTCCGTTTGAATATCAAATTTCTCCTAAACTTGGTATTTTTCTTGTGTTGCAAAAATGTTATCTGTCAGACCCCAGTATCAAGTTGGCAGTTGGACTATTCGTACTAAAAAACCTTAAAGTTCTTTAATTTGAAAGTATCGTAAGGTAACCTGTAAACCCTGATAAACAACCGGTATATCGAATTTTAGATCAACAAAACAAGTTGTTAGTCACTGTGGAGAAATTTTGAAGGCCAACATTTTTAAGGGGAGTGAGCCTGAAGTTCCCTGTTGATGTGGGCGAGAATGATAATGATTGGTTGTCTGCTTAGTCAGACATGTAGATAGTCTGACAAGTGTCAGATGAGTTATATATATTCCCCTATCCTTATACTTATTATTATTGATTGTTGATTGTTGTTGGCTTGTGTTGGGTTTTTGGTGTGGAAATATGTATTTAAGTTGTGGCCAGGCTAATCACGTGTTCTTGATCTGAGTTGTGTCGAAGTCCTGTAGAATAGACACTGGAAGGGAATCTAGTGTAGATATTCATCTAAGGTAAATTAACATCCCATACGTGTAAACGTTGGAAACCCAACCGTTATAACACTTAGAAGAACAATAGAAGTTTCAGAACTAAACAATCCAGCTCAGAAAACACAGCACCTCAAACATATAAAATCGTGATATAGGGAACATTGCTACTACTAACGAAATACACTTATTATTTCTGACAGTTTCATTACATCTAGTCAAATCACTCTTTGTCGAAAGTACAGAAATATAGTTTGGTTTAGAACTTTTGACTCATTCAAAGTACCGACAAATACATGAACATGTTTTCTGAAAGGTCAGTAACCTAACTTGTCACTGAAGTGAATGTTTCATAATAAAAACCAATGAATACCCGATAATCACAATGTGTTTAAATATATATCGGAATGCTTAGGATATTCCTGCAACATTTATTGAACACTTTCAGAGACCTTCAACTATTCATCAAGAAACGAGTACAAACAATATACGTGATTTATACTAGTCCATTACAAACATATCAGACATCAGATACAACTCTAAAAATACGATTTCTTCAAAGAGATATAACTATTAATCAGACTACATAGCTGTCACTTTTATAGTTAATATGATGTGAGTAAATGAACAACTTACTCTATTCACTAATACCTTCTATCATTTTAAATCAATTTGCAAAATAATGACTATGAACTCACAGGAATCAATATGGGTAATACCCCGGCCACATAAACAGCCAAAGCCACCTATGAAACATAAAATACAATGAAATTAGTAATTGTGAAATATCATGTTACAATAATTTGTGACCAATTAACGATTATGTGTAAACGTCTGAACTAAAATATAATTAGTGATCCAGATTAATAAATTCTTTTTAAGATTTAGAATAACTTACCTGTGTGTAACCTGCTATAATAAGACCGATAAATACTATTGTGATTGTGGAAAGTTCTGCAACACAGTAAATCATAAATACACTTGTATATTGACTTAAGTCAGTCTTTATAACCATACCAACCGGGACCAAAATCGAAAGCAACACGAAAGCAATAACCCATGCTATGACTTTTACTAGAATTTCCACATTGATGATAGAGTATCCTTGAGCTGCAGATATAGCCAATCCCTATTTAGAAATTCGAAAGCACTTGTTAAATATTTGTCCGAATCATATTGGATAGTTATGAAATGTATTTTATAGAAAGATAAGGATATTTTTCTGACACTGTTTAGCACATACACAAATCCATGCAGTGCAGTCTCTATAACAGAACCATATTGACTAGATAATTCAATGACATTGACTTGATGAGATATTTTGATTATAAATGAACTCAATATTCTATTTTAGCCCTTTGTACTATTTAGTTTTATATTTAATAAATTGGATCGTTTATTTACTCCATGAAGAAAAGACTGGAACTAATCATCGAAACGTCAAAAATTCTAATTGTTGAGACATCATAAATATATCATTATGGAATAATTTACACACACGTCTATCTACGTGAGTTGTTACTAACACTTGTAAAACTGAGCTCACAAAATATGTCAAACTGTTGGAATTATTTAGCTTTAAATATTTTTAGTAAACAATAAAGAGAGTTCAACAAGAATATTTTCTTTTAACTGTTAGATTGACACCTGCTATGTCTAGAGTTATATGTGCGAAGTCTTATGGCTTCAGCTATATGTAGGAGGCGGGAACGAACTCCGTTGGGAAAGGATGGAACTATACGATAGATCATACTGTAGATAATTCGGAAGCATTTCGCGTATGTCTAAAGTGTTTGTTGCTTTATAACTGCATACCTTTGGCTAATTATATTACAGCATAAACAAAGTAATATCGAAGGACTATGTTGAAGCAATTGAATATATGGTAGATTTACTGTGGTAACTACATCTAGTAAAACTGATTATTTCTCAAGGATTTCTAAACAACAGGAAACCACTGAAGTCCCATGTTATTTTAAAAATCTGTAGATTTACACATGTACTAAAGTGCTTTTAAATGTCGTTGTGTCTTTAATTTAGTTGCACTCTGAATATACTATAGCTAAACTCAACACAAACTTGTAATCACTAAACATCTTGATTGACAAACACCCGTCAATTTTGAAATAGCGATGGTTTCATTTTTAAAATAGAAATGATGTGACTTCATGAAAGTTGCTGCTGAACATGATTAGGTTAACATTGATATTACAGAATAGTGTATGTTATAAGATGAACTTATGATTGTCAAACTATATTTCCCTGATGATTTGAACACATGTTAACTATTATGAATGGTTCAATCATGGGGACTTATTTCTTTGTATTTCAAAAGAAAAATGAAAATTATGTTTTGTTTTATAACTTGCATCCCAACGAACCAATATACATATACATAATGAGGTAGACATACATTCCTCTACTGGTCTAGTAACAGCTAAAGAGTCAACAGGCGGGTTTGCACTTCCAATCAATAAATATAGGGTTCTGTTGTTAAATGTAGTTCAAGATTATGTCAACGTCATCTATATGAATGAACATGTTTCAAACATGATGAACTTTGAAGTGTCAAGTGCTAAACACTTGAAAATAATTTCACCAACTATATCGATCGGAAAGATATAATTATTATGAGTAGTAATGATTATCAGTGAAATAATAGTTTCTCACGTATAAAATTAACATTATTATATTCAGGGGATACGTTTCTCTCATCTTCCGTAAAATAACCAACATCATTCCTAGAAAAAAACCAATAATACTGAAAAAACAACAACATTATATTCATTATATATTTCTTGTTATTTGTGTATATTTAATAACGCAGTGAATAGAACATCAGAATACTCCATAACAATATTAAGAATACGTAAGTAGACTGAGTTGATTTGAAAGATATAGATAATAATGATCAACGTTGTGTAAATAATCTGATTATAAATAAAGAAACACTGTTAATACTTAGTATTAAATCAATGTTTTTAGCTAGAACATAGATAAACTATGTCGTCCTCTTATAGATCTTATCAGTAGTATGGATCCCGTAACAGTGGATCTAACTCAGGATCAATGGTAATGTTTATTATTCTTCTATCATCAAATAGGTGAGGTCGGTAATGAGTTCCTATTGAAGGTGATATGTTTTATATATATGTACTTGTAATCCATCAGATTAAATATGAAACATATCACCTCCATTAGGAACTCATTACCGAACTCATTACCGTACTATTTGATGTGATCATGCCTTGTTCGAAGTGACTTGTTCATTTCGGAGTAATCTGCAAAAAAATACTCAGTAAAACCGATTATTCTTTGTTTAAAAGGATCTGATGGGACAGTATATGGTTTACTGTTAAAATCTTAAGGCTTAAGTCAGACTAATGTTAGGTCCCGATAAACATAATGAATGGTAACTTTGGGATCCTTTTATGGACCAATACTAAACGTATATTTTTATCTTATAATTGTTAAATAACTAAACTATTCATATTCATATTCCTCTTATTATAAGCTTTATTTTGACCTATGAACCATTATTATACGTTTTATCATTCTTGAATTATGCCCTGTCTATTAGTCACTGCCTCCCATATTCACAACCACATTTGGCCAAATTTTGTATAAATGCTATTTTCTATTTTATGCTACGTTGTGGTCTGTTTGATTGGTACATAAACTCAGTATGTTTGAAATATAAGGATTCATATTGCAGAGGCTGAGATTGGTATTCTGCACTTAACAGACTGGGCTAGGCGGTAAGCAGGGCTAATCAGGACTCTGGGCTGCTTGCACGTGTTTTACGCGTCCTTGGTCCGATCGATAATTCACTACCCTCTAATCTGCGGTCACAAGTTATAACAACTAGTTAAGTGGAATACTCAGTAGCTAGATGAAAAGTAATACTTTTTTCAAATTCCATCTTAATTTGAGATATAGAAATATAGAATTGTAAATCATTGAAAAATTGGTTTTACATCAGAATATCTTGGAAAAGAATGTACTGTCCAAATTTAGTAGCAGATAAAGTGAACTCGTGATAGCTTCAAACCTAGCATCAACGTAACTTCGTACATTAAATATGGGAAGCTTGAAGTCTTAACTGATGACCCATTTAGAAGCCAATATTTAAAGTCCTGATCTATAAGATAGAAATGATAACAAGTTATATATTTCAATTCATGTGGCTACGTGATCAGAACCCTATTACAAAAGGATCTATTCTATTATTGAACAAATAAGTTTAAATAAGTTAATTACTTATAGGATATAATTTTAAGTCGGAAAAATGTATGAAAACGGTGATACTTTTTCAAAATAGAAATGTTCTTCAGTCATAAGTTGAATTGTCTTCTCTTATATTTCACATTCAGATGAAATGAAAGATTTTAAGAGTAGCCATCTTGTTTCCAGTTAATTCGTGTCTAGTCAGTACATATCCACACTTTCACATTACATTATATGTTATATGTGTGAATGATTGATGAAAGTTTTTAAGGAATGACAAAATATCTGCCTATTCAACATAACTTCATACATCAAATAATGAGAAGCTTGAAGATTTAACTGATGGTAGGTAAACTATCACTTGATACTTCTATTCCTTTGATAATATAAACTGTTTTGTAACAATAATCTTGTTACAAGTTCGTAGACTACACTTGTGAAGTTAATTACATTTAAGAGAAAAACGAATATATTGTAACATTCTACTCTGGTTAACTTAAAACAAACAAACATTTGATTGGATTTATACAGGTTTGTAATGATTTAAAATATATTCCAGTAGGATACAACAGATATTAAACGCGAATATGTTCATATACATATCTGTGTAAAAATTAACATAGTAGAATACGATACGTTCTTCCATACACTTGTAATGACCTACACGTCATTGGTGTAATGAAAACTATTATTATAACCAATTGTACCACGGATTGTTTTACTGTACTTGTTTGTTTAACTGTACCAAAACACATACATTCTTCCGTTGATTGTGACCTTGCACGAATTCGGTTACGCTCAGTAACCATAGTTGTAATCTGGCATGATCGCCCACAAATACATCTCGACTACAGTCATCAACTGCCATCTGATATTTGGCCTATGGGGGATCTTATCGGTTAACTAGCACGTAGTCTTCCTCTAGTGGTGATCATAGTCAACCGTGACTCGACGCCACATTACACACTGATGATATTTATGATTATTCAACTTACATTATGAACAAAGTCTGTATTATCTTTAGTTGAACAATTAAAAACACGTTAAAATGTATTGAAACCTATCTGAATGATGTCATATAGAGGAAGCTTACTTAATGTTGTAAATAACTGTAATATTATGTCCATTTATAATGATATGATGATTGAATATAAGCACATTATATAACTATAAATTGAACATACTTGAATACACTTGTGAAAATTGTTATACATGTCGCCGATTTAAATTCTTCTTTTCTAATGAATAATAATTTTGATCATCAATTAGCTTACAACAAGGATAAGGTTAGTGTAACAATGATTGATAAAACTGATAGTACACTAGTAAGTATTAAAACCTAAAATTCAATAATAATCTCAATTGAAAACAAACCATCGCAGTATATGGTAATTTGGGTTGTAGAGCATTCTGTTGAAATATATACTTTATTCTGAAGCCCATATTGCAGAACAATACTGATGATGTTTATTGACGATCTCAATTTACATTTATTGACTGAATGAAATGTGCTTGTTTCTACGACATATATAATATTGCAGAAATTAAACTATAATAGCGAAATAAAAGTTCACGTATGGAATAACTATTAATATAAATAACAGTATAGGGTTGTTGAGATTGTTAACTTTTGATTGAGATCATGAATCGATCAATGTTAGGCCACCATTGAAAACCTAGAAGCACTTGAAAACCGTTTCGTCCTACAATGGGGCTCCTCAGCAGCGCGATAAATGGCATATCAGTTAGTTTACATAATCGTACTAGTCGTAAGCTAATACAACCTTCCTAAAGGGTATCAGTAGGTATGATAAATATAGTTCGTTTCTATTTATGAATGTGTTAAGTATTATAATTAATCGGCAAGTAGTCCATAAGGTCTAGTCAAATTGAGTCGAGAACATGGCATTGTCTAGTACTGATGATGTTTAAAATGATAATGTTGAGTTTATCATATAGTTAATTTTGTAGATTGTATATAGGCATCATAACCCATAGCACATAATCGTAAGACTAAAATCAATCTGTTGACATTATATTTTACGGACGAATTGTTCACAGAGTGTATCTAGAATTTTTGCTCGAAGTCTGTTCATCTGTATGGCCAAAAAAGACAAGTGAAATTTATAAATTACTTTGAACAAACAAAACTAATCACCACAATTGATTATTAGTTTATTGTGTATACAGGTCAAATCACATACTCACGTTTGCTGAAGTATCATCAAGAACCTTGAATTAGTGAAAAGATATTTGGTTCGAATCCATTAAAGTTTGCATCTACAACTCTACTGAGAATTGTAGCTTCATTCCGATTGTGATATTACACAATGGTCTCATAACTACCCTGAAGAACCTCTGAAAGTCATTTCCAAATGAGTACATGGTTATTTTACAGCTACTTGGATTATAGAAGCTAGTACATTATGAAAAGAGTCTTCATCAATAACTGAAATCCAACAATGGACAATTCATTACACTCACATTCTGTATTTGATTAAGAAGTTGTAATTTAACGTAAAGAAAAAAGTCTCAAAAAAAATTTTCATAGAATGTCGTCACTAACCGTATTGAAGTATTCTGACTACGTTTTGAAATACAGTGAAATGTTACAATGTAAATATACAAATGATTGGAACTAATACCAATCATATAACTGTTTGTTATAAATGGACTTTGATTTGAATAAGCAACAATTGAATTAATTGTTGAGAAATAATGAATACACTTAAACTATACAACTAGATTGTAAAGTATCATTTTCATATTATGTATATTCAATCCTATTCAATACTATGAACTCAGTTTTGATGTAAGTGAATTATGATTTTTAAAAATCATTCAGTGTTATTTTGTATTAAGAGATTTATTAGTGTTTAAATTGTATAATTCTTCAATATGATGTGATGTTTAAGTTATAATGAGAATAAGCTTCCGTAAGTCATTACTTCTCAACAACGCCATATATTTCCAACTAACTTATCAGAACTCAGTAGCTAAGTAAATAACGCGATGGGGTTTAAAGCGAATGGTACTGAGTTCGAGCCCCATAGAGAACATCAACTCTGAGGTGAAGGTACATCCAGCTGACGAGTCCCACATAAGACGAAACGCTCATCCTGGGTTCCACTATTCATCTTTACATATTCATTTCTTTTTCCAATTTCAGACGATTTCTTAATGATTCCACTTCAACTAATCAAAATAACTATTTCACATTGATTATTTCATCCATATGATAAGGAATGCTTGATGAAAAGAAAGAAGACAAACAATCAATCATATGGTCACTATTGTTCAGAATATTGTTAAACGTCATCCATTAAAATGTAATCCAATTTATATGCAAATTATTTCATCCGTTGAATATTGAATGAATGAACGAATGAATGAATGTTGATGAAAAAGAAGCAAACCAAATATCTTTTGTTGTTGTTGTTGTTTCCCCCCCCCGTTTTTTAGACGAAATAATAAATACAAATAGAGCATTATATCTATTCACAATGTGTTTACTCTTATTGATAGTTAAAAATTCATAGTGAATGTTGTTTGTATACATTTTTTTTGTTTTTGTTGTTGTTGTTGTCAAGTTTACTATGATTTCTACATGACGATGATAATGATGATGATGATCATCATCATCATCATTTATCATCAACTTACTTTTTAGCTAAGTTATCTAAACTCTAGAATTCGTTATTATGATACTTTTTCATATAGATCAGAAAGATTGATTCAACTGATCTCTATTTCATCTTTTTCTTTGAACGAATATTATTTAAAACTAATAACTTATCATTTCTATTGATTAGGTGTTTACTGTCTTTAAGTTGATGTTCTGAATGTGTAAAGATTTGTTAAGTACAATACTATGATTATCCAGTTCCTTAGTGTTAATCAAATTCTATCTGTCAAGTTCCAAAGTAGACATAAATGTGAATGATTCAATTTCAGGTGCAACATCAGATGATTAATGTAATTGGCAAGAAATTTTGTAGAGTGCTAACTGGTACAAAAGTTAAGTACAAGGTTTCCTATTATAAATGAACATGTTCATAAATGATTGATCACTGGATGGAGATCAGTGTCATGCGTGAGGTTTCCCCGCGTGGGTTCGAATCCCATCCCCGTCGCCACTGATAAGTCTTGTTAATTCGATTCCTATGCTATTCTGTTAACCCGCATGCTAGAACTACGCAGCGACCTAAACTCGAGAGAAAAGGCGAAAAATAAGCGAAAAATACTTTACTCCAAAGGTTCATTTTTGTACAGAAAAACACGGGTATTTATAGATGTTAACGTTTGTTAAACCAATATAATATTTTGGCTAATCTGCTACTCACCAGTAGTAGCATACCACATTGATATTCTAGAAAGCTCACTCATGCTCTGATTGGCTAGGACTCTTCGGCTCCTTTAGGGCCTCTGGAGGCTCCGTTGCAGTTCTCGGGAAGCCGACTCAACACTAAGTACATAGAATACATAGAATATTTAGTACTTATTATTTTTCATGTAGGAGTTTACTAATGGATTATTGAAGTAATATAAGTAATAAGTTCAATGATAAAAATTGCTCTGAAAAACTGATAAACAAACAAATCACCAGTTTTATAGTTCATGTGTACATACTTGAAATAGTACATGATATAGTGTTATAATTTTCGATGTAAACACTTCCTAACCTTTGATAGGGATAGTAAGATAACTAAGAATGAGTAACAAGCTTTATCCTTAACATTTGATGAATATGTACATAAACTAAGTGAGCATGTTCATGGTACTGCAATAATGCAGGAAAACATATGTGAGAAGCGTGACCTTAAGTTAGTGAATAACATGTTTATTTACAACGTTCTACCCAAACTTGAATTTCTCACTACCATATGGTCTTGAAAAGAAAAGGTGGTTTTCCTATGGCATAGTAATTCTTAAACGTGTAAGTTTTAGTCAGAAATAGTTAGTCTTGATGACATATTTTGTCATCAAGCAGTAACAACATAATTTTGCATTAATTAAGTCAGTCAAACACATCAGTTGGTGACGGATAAGAAGTAAAATTATTTGATTGAGATCACAAAAAGGTTGATGTTAAACCACCACTGTAAACCTGGGAGCACTGGATGGCTACTTCGTTCTATTGTGGGACTCCTCAGCAGTGCGCATTCACGATCCCGCTCACGTGATTTGAACCCATGTCCTTCAGTCTTGCGCGCGAACTCTTAACCTCTAGACCACTGAGCCGGCATCCAGCAGTGTTAATGTTTAATCTCAACCAATCCGCGAAACTGCGCGACCATCTTCCATTGTCTGAGGTAGATACCTGTCTGTTTCTGACATGGATTAGCTTCACTGCTCACGGCTTCTCACTATAGCTCCGAGAACTCCGTCACAAAGCTAGTCACTAGTGAGCACATGGCACTTATTAATAAAGGGTTGTGGAAATTATAATGTTTTTGATAATAGTGATAATAGTAATCTCCAAAACTCTATACTGATAATCTCATTTGAGCTGTGGAATTAATTAACACCAAACTGAGAATCATTCAGAGTTGGAAATTTTTGGACAAATAAGTGAACTCCAATCTTAGATAACATCAAGAAACACAGCTTAATTTAAATCCATAATTAGGGTTTCGACGTACTTTCACTTCTGTCTACATATAATAGTAATCTTAAAGAAAAGTAGACTCACAAACAGTTTCATAGCTTCATCATAAACTTGTAGTATGCATAAACCAACAGTCCTTAATTTGAAGTAAATAATGACTGAAATGTTACTCTTGAGTAATATATTTTTTCAGTAAAACTAGTTATTCTGCATATGATGAAAAATCATGTTGAACAATCTATACAAACGTTTTTGATCCCATAAGAGCTGACCAACTTTCATTTGTTTCATGTTCATAGAATAATTCCAAACACTTAAATACGATATCATAACCGATAAAATTAATCTGTTTCAAAATTAAAAGTTACCATTGAAAGTACCTAATGTTTCTCTGCCTTTTTAGTAGATTAAATTCGGAAAAACTAACTACTGAATTCCTATTCAGTAGTTGACAAAGCTATTTTAGAATTAGGCAAATCTCTATCAACCACTCAAGTATATCAATATTATTATCAATAAATATGTTTAAGTATCATCCTCTACCCGTCAAACGAAAATGGATGATCATCTCTAACTGCATAACTGATAAATATCTTCATAGATCGTATATATTACGCAGTATCAAAAATCTCAGTGATACACAGTTACGAAAGTCTTTTTCTATCATTTGCTAAAACAAACAGGAAACTTGATGTTATCTCAAAACATCTTTTGACATATGACTAATATTCTATACTGTATTGTTCATTTGTTTTAATGTACACCGAAAATGTTTACATGTGTTATGGTTTTTATGTTTTACATTCTCATTTAAATAAGAAAGGGATTTAGTTTGTTGTTGTTTGAACCGGAAATATTGTTTGCTGTATTTTTTTTGTTCTGTTGAAAAACATGAAGTTTCTTTAATTCCATCAGTGGAAAACAGAAATTGTAAATTAAAGTATGAGTTTATGAATCTCTGTCGTTTATATTTACCATAAAAATTGGTCGATTTTATAGCAGTACATGCGTTCTGATTAAATTGCTGCGACAAATAGTTATATCAGATGGGTTTTGTGGATATTATAGTAATTTCACTGGTTAAGATCATGAGTCAGTTGAAGCTAGACCACCACGGAAAACCTGGAAGCACTGGACGGCGCACTGGATGCGCACTGCTGAGGAGTCCTACAACAGGACGAAACGGCCGCCCAGTGCTTCCAGGTTTTCCATGGTGGTCTAGCTTCAACTAACTCATGATCTTAACCATTGAAATAGTTATATCACAAATTTAATCATATTCGGTGTTTGGTTATCAGTTAAATTCCAGGAACGCTTTTTCGTCATATTCAGGACCCTTTATTTTGGTGTAATCGTATCCCGGTATTGATGTCCACAATGAGATTCGAATTTCTTATGCTTCAAACACCATTCCGTTAATCACTGAGCTTTTGTATCCAGTTACATAAAACTGACTAATTCTATATAGGACAAAACTCATTTTCTGAACCCCTCTTTTAACCAGAAGTCAAATATAATAAAATCTGTGTTGAATACAATTTTTTACGATAGAAAAACTGAAATTGTTTATTATGGCTCATTTAATTTATGAATAGTAACTCTAAGGTGTCTGTACTATCCACAAGGGACCCTATGGTCCTGAATTCAAGCATCTTTAACTTCAACGGTGACAAGTCTTGTCAATGTAGTGGTAAATAGTATCTTACAATGAAACAATATCCCTCAAATACCAAGTTGAATTACTTCCACACGATGAATGAATTCCGCTGACACGTCTTTTGCTTACGTGTTAACTGATGTTGAGTTAAGCAAACTCATGTGTTATTACTTGAAAGAGCTTGTAAAGATTGCTGCATGGCA